AAAAAAAAAAAAAAAAAAAAGGGTAGATCAAACTACTAAAAAAAGCATGTTTGATGTTCATATAAATTGGAATAAAAAAATCAGAGAGGAGAAACATATCGTAATAAGGATATGAGTCATTCTCGATTTCACCCAAACAGCTAAAAACGAAAGGGATCTAAATAAGACCAACTCGCTCAATAAAAACACCCTGCCCAAAAAAAAAAAAAAAAGTAAAGAATTGCCTTATTGAGAAAAGATGGAAAATTAGAATAAATAAATAAATAAGAAATAATACCTAACTGAGAGCGAGAAGCAATAATTAAGAATGGTGATAGGTGGGAGCAGAGAGGGGACAAATGATATGATATATCAACGTCAATGGCGATTGGGGCTTGGGACAGTCCGATTATTTATAACATTTGTGACGGAGGAGGAGAGCTCTGAGAAATACGTACTTTCATGTTCTCCGCAGAAGGATCGAGAAACGACTGTTTTAATATTTTTTATTTAGTTAATTGTAATATATATTGGCTGCTTTATCCTACTTTTGGGCCTTTCATTGTGAAATCAACTAAAGCCCAATATAAAAAGGCCTGATATTTTGGGTAATTTACATACTTATCAGAGCTAAAGATCTTAATATTATTTTTACGTCTAAAAAAAAGATTTATCATATCACTCTTCAGAAGACAAATAATATTCAAAGTACGAGTTCTGTTTAATCGCGAGAATCTAGCAATCACTCATCAATTTATTCCTTCTCTGTAACAGACTCAATTAATCATCTATTTTCAAAGCTCGCCTTCTTTCCGATCTCATCAGGTTGTTTTATGCTTACAAGATAAACCCTAATCCTCAACTATAGCCTCTCCTCTTCAGAATCTTAATTCAAAAGCGACCCCCAAATTAAACATGGTCAATTTTACAAATTTGTGAATTCACAAATTTACGCCCACATTGAGAATGTCGAGAGTTTTGGGACGCCCGAGTCAATTTTCACTGACTTGATCACTTTCTATGGCGATGTTCGTATGTTTGATGATGATGTTGTTGAGCTCTTTTAGTTAAAACTGCACAGGTGATGAAAAATAAGATTTAAGCGTCAACCTTCGACGTTTTAATCAAATCCCACTGCAAAATCAGAAATTCGAATAATTAGTTTTGATAGTTTATTATGTGGCCTCGGGTGATAAATTGTTTATTTTCAGGAATATGTGTTCTCAAAAGATTCGGAAGATGATGCTTTTACAGAGGAATAGCCGAACCAGCTGCAGACTAGGTTTAAAACAGTGAAGTATACGAAAGATAAATGAGAAATACACACTCCAGAACATTCCAAAACAGTGAAGTATACGGAAGATAAACAGGAAATAAACACTCCAGAAACTTGGAGTTTTGGTCGATGGATATATGAATACTGATATTACGGTCGACGAAACTTTCAAAGATAAAAGTGTCCATGTGTCTTGATGCTTTAATTAACGGGTGGAATCATTGTAGGCCTATTATTGTTGTCGGTGGTACTTTCTTTAGTTTTGCGTGTGGAGGTACGCCAAGGCCGGTGTTTTAGATGGGTGTGCTTTGGCGATGGCGAGATGGGCTCTGCTTACAGCCACGTAACTGCGACGGTGAAATCTGGCGAGATGGGCTCTGCTTACAGCCACGTAACTGTGACGGTGGGGATTTCAGTTCAGATTATCTGAGCTTTGTCAGTGATTTGATGTTTGGCATGAGAAAGTAAATCTTTGGCAAATAAAATCAATATGTTCGTCAGTGGCTTGTGTGTGATAATATTTTATTTATCTACCGTTTATGTTAAGTATAACTGTATATATACTTTCTCATAACCACAGAAAAATATGTTTAGATATACTGTATATATACAATAGATAAACATGGTCTAACATTTCTCTAATGTTACTCGCATAGTTATACATAAGATAAACAACGTATAAACAACACTAAAATGATATAGACATAATACACAATTCCTAATGATTGCAAAATCCAAAACTGAATGTAGTTATACATTAGATAAATAACCTATGTCTACTTTACATGACACCAAATTGAACTTAGAACTTGTCAATTCCTACATATTTCAACTTTACATAACATTTACAAAGTTCAATCAACAACTTTGTGCACTCCAAGAAACAACACAATATATATTATGTATAACTAACGTATATTTGTGTATATGTTTACTACACTCCTGGTGAATGGTCCCATCGACGCTTACGATTTTTTGGGTCAAAATTTAATATTTTCGAGTCCATTGAAGTTCAAAACACAAAAGTGAAAAAATCCAACAAAACATAAGGCCAATAGTAATAACATGGTCCAACTCTCCATACACTAAAGACAAAGTATTCTATCAAAAGGAAGTCAGATTCAAAATAACAGACATGAGCTTTGCACGCTCTACATCATCAAGCATCCCAGGAGATTCATCATTGCTCTCACACGAATTTTCTTGCTTCATACGACCATGTTGATAGAGCAAGTATGAGTACCTCATCCTCTCGGACCTCTCCATGTCTGGTTAATTGTACATATATATACATAAGATAAACATCATATATACATTTTTTGATTCTCCAATAACCTTATAAAATGACAACAAAAATTGTATATATATATATATATACATAAGATGAATAACATATAAACTTTTCTCAAAATGCAATATATTTATAACATGACGACAAAAACTGAACATGTTTATACATAATATAACAACATATAAACACTATTCAATATACTTATATAACATGATACCAACACAAACTAATTCAGCCAATACATCATTTAGCAAAAAATAAAACAAAAACTCCCTGACAAATTCCTCCACAGGCACAAAAACATTCCCAAAAATCCAAAGAAGATAATTTCCACAATTAACAAACAAGTATGAATTATAATTTGATTCACAAATTATTAACCTTATAAAACATTTATCCTTATAAGACAATTTAATCCAAACAAGACAATTTCTTCCTCTGTCATCTGTACCGGCATGTCGAACTGCTCCGCGCACGACTCACCCTCGGTGGTCTTCCGATTCGGTTTTTTGGACGACCTTACGCTTTGGTACTTGAAATTGAGATGTCCGACAAGATCGAGAGCGAGTTAATCTTGTTTCTTCTTCACTGTGGCCGGATTTGGCTTCACTTCTTCTTCGCTTGGCCATTGAAGATTTCGAACTGAGAATCGATTTTTGTGCGGTAGGGAAGATTCCTTTTTTGGTTTTTTGTGAAGAAAATACCCATCAAACGACGATATGGAGAGAGAGAGAGAGAGAGAGAGAGAGAGAGAAAAGCAAAAGAATCTTCTTGTTTTACAATTGTGTGTGGAAGAAAAATTAAGAGAGAGAGAGAGAGAGAGAGAGAGAGAGAGAGAGAGAGAGAGAGAGAGAGAGAGAGAGAGGCATGAAATAAAACTGTCATTAATTATGTGTATTAGCGGTTAGTTATAACCCTCCCCAAAATCTGTTGAAAATCAGTCTTGTATTTACAACTTCCTTTAATTAATTGTTGATTTCGTCTTTGTGACATAAAGTTTGTCATTTCGCATTTTTAATATTATTTAAGAAATCATTAGTAATGGGTGTAATTTTCTCGATATTTTCAACTAATGGGAAACTTTGTTTCAATTCTAATTTACATTTTTAGTACCATTTTTGTAACAATTTAAAAAAATAAAAATTTGCATAAATTATATATTTTTATTTTAAAATGAAAAAGTTTTTATTCTTAAAATTTACGTTTATGTTCTTTGTAGTTTATTGTATGTTTACATATTAGTGTTCGTATTAACAAACATCTAATTCTTTCAACAAAATATTTAAATTAAATATTTGAAAACATTTCTCCAAAATATTTTCACCACAAAATAATTTAACTCATCTTCGACGATGTCTGAAATCTAGTCCTATCGTACATCATGTGCCCAATCTCGTTGGACAGTGACTGACGTGTATTGTGCCCAAAGGTTTGGCTATCTTCGTTGTGCATTGGGGACTCTATATGAACTTCGTTGCTTTCTTCATCAGCCGGGTTAATGGTTTGGCTATCTTCGTGAAACTCTTGATGAATCTTCGGTAGTAACTGACTAGGGCGAAGAAGTTGTGCTTCTTACTCGCGTTCCTCGGGATCTCCAATTAATCACCGCCTCAATCTTATTCAAATCAACCTCTATCCCCTTAGCGATGACAACGATTAAGAAAGGAAACTTGGTCCAACCAGAACCCACACTTCGACAATTCAGCATAAAGCCTGTCATGTCGAAGCATCTCTAACACGACCCTCAAATGCTCCTTATGCTACTCGGCTTCTCGAGAGTAGACCAAGATGTCGTCGATGAACACGATGACAAACTGGTCTAGATAAGGATGGAACACTCGGCTCATGAGATCCATGAAAATAGCTGGTGCATTGCTCAATCCGAACGGCATAGCCACAAACTCGTAGTGACCATACTGGGTTTGGAATGTCATATTAGACACATCAGAATTTTTTTATCTTCAACTAATGGTAGTTAGATCTCCGATCAATCCTCGAGAACACAATGGCTCCCTTGAACTAGTCGGACATGTCCTCAATTCTTGGTAGCTAGTATTTGTTCTTCAACATCAGTCTATTGAGCTGACGATAGTCGATGCACATCTGCATCGACCCATCCTTCTTCTCTACAAAAAGGATAGTGAAAATAGTTATTTTCACCCCGTTTTGAAGTCCTGCTAAGTTTTTCACACCACCCAATAAAAAGCTCAGTTTTACACCCCATAAAGTACAAAGACATATTCGATAGATAGACGATCGGGATTAGCATGGGCGAGAAATTTATGAGTTAAAGTATGCGACTGTTCTGCGACGAATATACGGAGATTCGATGTACGATTTGGTCAATCGCGGTCCGTCGCCCATTAAATAATTATTCCAGTTAGGCGAATGAAATTGCGACTATCAGTTGGAAAAACTATTCTGCGACATACCAACGTCGAATATTATTCGCATAGTTGTTGCATAATAAGTTTTTTTTCGAATTTCTTTCATCTTTCAGTTATCCTATGCGAATTGCCGCATATTGCTCGCATACTCCCTTCGCAATTGTACTCGAAAGTTTATTTTTTATTTCTTTCATCTTTCAGTTATTTCAACTATGCGAGGGGGTATGCGAATTTCCGCATATTGCTCGCATACCCCCTTCGCACTTCTACTCGAAAGTTTAATTTTTTATTTCTTTCATCTTTAAGTTATTTCAGTTATGCGATGGGTTATGCGAATTGCCGCATATTGCTCGCATACCCCCTTCGCAATTCTATTCGAAAGTTTTTTTTTTCTTTCATCTTTCATCATTTAATTTAGTTTATTTTTTTTTTCTTTCAGGTATGAGAAATGCCACATAAATACAACAAACAACAGAATATTCTAAAATGCAAAAAAAAAATAAAATGTAT